GTGTGTGTGTGTGTGTGGCCAGCTCAGCCCACCAGGGGGCAGGGCTGGCTGGCATGTGGTGCTGGGGGATTGAACCGCAGTCCCTGTGCTTTGCTTAGCTTAGCTTGTTCTAAGTAGGTGCTTTAGATCACTGAGCCATCTCACCAGCCCCTCCCTTAACCTTCTGAGTGCTGGGGATTAAAGGCATGAGTTACCATGTCTGGTTCATTATACGTTTTTTGAAGTTGTGAAATATACATAACATAAACCACAATTTTAACCTGTGTGTGTGTGTGTGTGTGTGTGTGTGTGTGTGTTGCTGGGATTCAGACCCAGGCCGTTGTGCACATAACCAAGCACCCTACCACTGCAGTACACCCCATCCCTTACCCATTTTTAAGTGTACAGTTTATAGTAAACTACATTCACACTGTTATGTAGAGTCACACTGTTATACTACCAACTTCCAGAACTTTTTTTCATTGTACAAAACTGAATCTGTATTTGACAGCTCCTCATTTTCCCCTCCCCCTGGCAACCGCTGCTCTGTCTCTCTGAATTTATACTATTAGACTCTCTCTCTATGTGGTTCAATACCCATATTGGGGTATTGAACCTTGGACCTCACATGTTAACTAAATGCTCCACACCACTGAGCCTCACCACTGAGCCTCACCACTGGTACTTTTTTGCAAGAGGGTCTCCTTAAGTTTGTCAGGCTGGCCTTGAATTTGTGATTCTCTTGCCTTAGCCAGCTTCTTTTTTATTAGAGGCTCTCCTTCTAAGCTGAGGATCACTTGAGAGTCTGGATTTGAGTCCAAGCCCCAAGTCATGCTCTGAGTCAGTTGGAAATGCAGCCTCACCTCGAGGAGAATCTGTGACATATTTTACGTCTCCCATGAGAACAGTGGCCACTCCTCTTCCTGTGTGCTGTTCTCTCATTTAATCCTCAGTAACCCTGCTGTCAGACTGTCAAAAGAGTGAGGGGTGGGGTCTGATTTCCCAGCTCAGTGTCTGGTACAGCATAAGGTTCAATTATTGGGCCTATTTGGTGTCTTTTTTATTTTATTTTATTTTTGGCAAAACTGGGGATTGAACTCAGGCCCATGAGCTTGCCAGGCAAGTGCTTATTCTACTGAGCCATCTCTTCGGCCCCTATTTGATGTCTTTAAATGAGGTGGGTGATACTAAGTAAGTTTATTGTACATTTTTATTGCAATTGTTTTTTTTTTTTTTTTTCTTTTTTTCCTCTTACTGGCAATGCTGGGGATAGAACCCAGGGCCTTGTGAATGCGAGGTGAGCACTCTACCACTGAACTACATCTCAGCCCTTTTTTCAAATTACTTTTTAGGGGCTGGAGAGATATCTCAGGGGCATAAACACCTACCTGGCAAGCACAAGGACCCAAGTTCAATCTCGGGCCCCACATGCCTTGTGGTCTCGGCCCTGGATCCCCGGGGCACACTGTCTTGGCCCAGATGCAGGTGTGGTCCAGCACTCAGGAGGTTAAGCCAGGAAGATCTCTGTGAGTTCAAGACCAGCCTGGGTCTTGAATGAGCACAAGGTCAGCCCAAACTGCATAGTGAGACCCTGTGTAAAGAAAAAAAAATAAAATAAAATAAAAAATTAAATTTTGTCAAGGGTTTTGTTAAATCGACTAGGATGCCTCAAATCTGTGATTGTCCTGTCTCAGCCTCCTGAGTAGCTGGGATTACAAGCATGATCCACCATGCCTGGCTCTATTGAGCTTTGGAAAATATTCTCTTTGGGAAAAAAAACAGCAGAAATCCACAAGGCAGGCTTCCCAGTCCTCTGTGCTGCGCCCGGCTGCAGTCAGTCTGCTCTTTCCCGACAAGTGCCTCGGCTGCCTGCACTGACACGCTTCTGTTTGGTCATATGCAGGTCCAGCTGTTCTGGGACATCACGCTGTTTCACGTCTCTGGGCCTTTCCACATGCTTTTTCTCTTCCATTCCCTCCCTCCCTCTCCTCTTTCTTTCGAGTACTAGGTGTTGAACCCAGAGCCCCTTTTCCACTGAGCTGCAGCCCCAACCCTTAATTTTTTTTTTTTTTTTCTCAGTATCAGGGATTGAACTCAAGCCCTTGCTCTTGCTGGGGAAATGCTTATTCCACTGAGCCATCTCCCTGGACCCCCTTAAATTTTTTTTTTTTTTTTAATGTTGAGATAGTCTTGTTAAGTGACCCAGCCTGGGCTCAAACTTATGATTCTCCTGCCTCAGCCCCTCCAGAGAGTTAAAATTATAGATGTGTGCCACATCGTTTGACCATATGTACTATCCTTGAAGATTAGAACTTTCTTTCCTACCGTCTCCACCTCCAGAACTGCTCCATTCTTTGCAAGCCAGCACAGATGTTACCTGCTGTGGGACGCCACCTTCCCTCCTCCCCTGCTAGGAGTCCTCCCCTTCTTAGGACAGCACTGGGGCTGGAGTGACTGTGCAAGTCAGTGTGTCCCCTTGTCCTTTGCTCCTTGTGCAGTGATGAGCTTTCATCATTCTTCCTGGCAGGAGTTAAGGGAAGCCCGGGCTATTAGGACTTTCTAATGTTCCCCATCTTTGAAAATAAAGACACAACACAACAAACACGGGCAAAATTTTTAATATTTTAACTATTTAATATTTCGGTTACTAGAAATTTATAACACTATTATGCTGCTCACAAGATAACTATAAGATTTAGTAAAATACAATCATTTGCAGTATTCTACAGACTCAGGGGTCTGGCTGTAGGGCCCAAGTTGAAAGATTTCAAAAGAGGGCCTTTGATCAAACGGGAGTGTGGATCGGACGCAGCGTAAACCCTCCTTTGGAGGTAATGTTGGAGGCCTAAACTGGAGATCCTGGCCAAATGGCTCTCGGGCCCCTGTGCTGAGGGTTAGGCTGTACTACTGCCTCTGTACACAGTAGGCCCTCGTCATTTGCTGAATGATGGGAATACAGTTTTCTGAGTAGTTATTGAAAACCCACAGACAGTAAATATTCCTGAGAAACCCTGAAGTCCTGAACAATGAGGCAGGAAGCCTACAGTGACCCCAACCTCAGAGTCCAGCTGAAAGCAGCAACAGGAAGCCCCTCAGCCACTGTCTTTCCTATCCCTCTCACTTCTCCCCCTCAGAGCTCCAAATGCGGTCATGCTTTCCATCCTTTCCATCCGCTGGCAGCCTGGCTTCTCCTCCACCCTCCGGAGGGTCCCAGGTGAGGAAAGAAAAAGCACTCACTCACAGAAGGGGGCAATCAGCCAAGCTGGTCTTGGAGAGCCATCCTGCTCCAGGCAGTCCCAAGAAATAAAAGAAACAAGAAAAGGGCAAAGAAGAACTTAAAGCACCGGTGCAAGGGGGTGGGGGAAAGGCAGAAAAAGTTTAAAAAGCAATCTGCCAGAGATGGGAAGAAAAAGGGAATCCTGCTGGGCTGAAGGACTCAGGCCATCGGATCACCCTCGACCCAGTTCGATACCTGCAATTCCGAAGGAATAGTCTGAATAGATTTCTGCCCTCACTTTGTTCCTAGGAGCTGGTTACTGACCCCTGATCCAGTGATTTCCAGGAGTGGGACGCCTCAAACTTGCTGTTCTCTGGCAGCCGCTGAGCATCCCTGAGAACAGCGTTCACTTGAGCCCACCAAATTTGCCCGACTACCAGTTGTTTGAATTTTCATCTGAAACAGTGTGAGGATAAGGTGACCCCCAGATCCTCACAGCTATTGAGCCACTGATGTCTCATATTTTCAGAGCCACTGAATACACCCACAAGCCTTACTGACAAGCTCCCTTGTTACCAGAGGCAGGAGTGCATGAAGTCATCTCACCTAATCTTCACAAGGTCCTTAGGTATAACTATTCCCATTCTACAAAAAAGGAAATGGATTTAGGAGTAATTCAGAGGCTTTCCGAGGATATACAGCCTGGGTTCTAACCCAGGTCTGTCGGACCTCGATGTTCACCCTTCCCACTAAATTCCCTCTTGGGAACTCTTTTAAGGATTCTGACTTAAGTGGAGCCCAGACCAATCTTAAATGTGGTAAGAAATACAATTCTGTGGCATCTAAAGAATTCCCAGCCCTACTTCGGGGGTGGGAAGAGTAGGAGTGTGTTGCATTATACTGGGTAGAGTCCCACCAGTTTCTTTTAGACACTTGAGTAATTTAAGCATAAATAACTGGGCACTGGGAACAGGCCACTCACTAATAAAAGCATGGGCTGGAATCATGTTTGAAAAAAAAAAAAAAAAAATCCAAGCCCTTCCGTGGGTGGATGTATCTGCAAAACAAAAGAAAAGCCCCTTTCCCAGCCTAGGCAGAGAAGTCTCCTGTACAGTTAGAGACAACAGGCTTCCGGGCGCGTAGCCAAGGTTCTGGGGATATTTATAACTTGAAGAGGGTGGGAGTCCCTAATAAGCTGCTATATTCTTTTTCCATCACTTCCCTCTCCAAGACTACAGCGAGCTCAAAGCTCTTCCCCCACGCAGAATGCCTGCCTCGCCTAGTGCTCGACTTCCATTGTCTAATTCTCTCATCCTGGCTGGGGAAAGGGAAGGCTGCAAGTCCTTCCGTTCCGCGGAACTCCAGATGAATACAGTTTAGCTGCCAGTGGTGTTTAGCCAGCTACTGTGGGATCGGCCTCTGGGCCTGTGGTTTCGCTGAGCGGTCTGAAAAGTCTAAGCTTTGGGATCAGCCTACGATTTCTGGGTTTTGTCTGGAAGGTTACGGATTCGAGATATACCTGCGGGTCTGAGATCTTCGGGATCTTCCAGCGATCTCTAGAATCTCTCCAGATATCAGAGGCCGGAGGGGACTATCTGCGGCGTTGGAATCAGCCTGAGGCCTCTCGGATCTTGTAGCCGGCGATCTAGAGGATCTTTTGCAGGTCAGGAGGTAAGTCTGTCCGCAATTCGGGTTTTTGGGTTTCCAACCTTCACAAAAGGCCGCTCACCCCCGAGGACTCACTCGCCCGGCTCTGGTCCTTACGGGCCTTGGGTCCCATCCGTGCCAGGGGCTTCCTCAGGGATAAGGAAAGATTGCCAGCCGTGAGGTCTGGCCATCTCCATACACGCTCTACCCGCTCCCTCGCTTCTGATTCAATTTAAGGTTTCGTTCTTCCAAGGGGGCAATTCAGTCCCATTTCACGGGGAACAATCGTTAAACCTGGTCGGATACCCCTACAGGGTTAACACCGACCAAGCTCGGACACCCGGGTCGGGCCGCAGACCTCACTTACTAGCAGGTTAGGTGGCGCGGGGCCTTCTGGGAGTTGTAGTCGACCTGCAGAATGCAAGTGCCGCGCGAGGCCCTGGGAGTTGTAGTCTGTGCGCCGATCGCGAGTACCCGAGGCGCGGCTGGGAGGTGTAGTGCGTGGGCGGGACCCAAAGTTGAAACGCCGCAGCACACTCCCCGCGGGAGTGGGCGGCTTCTGCTTTCCCCTTTTTCCTGGCTTGTCAAATGAGAGCTAATCACAGTGAATCTCTGCACAGGCCAGCACCTAAATTAAGTCTGACATCACGGATAATAAGATCTAATTCAAGAGAAGCTTTGTAGGAACGTGAGGAAAAGTAGAGCCACCTCGCTAGCTTAATCACACCGTGGTCTCCAAGAGAAAAAAAAAAAAAGCGGGAGATACTCGGCCTCGGCAAGGAGCATACGCTTCCTCCTTCACTCTTTTGTTCTTTTCCCTCCTCGCCCTGGCCCCTGGCTGGCCTTTGTACGCAGGAGTGGAACTCCAACTCCCGGCAGGCTACCGGGCGGGCGCAGGCGTGGTAGGGCTGGCCGGACACGCTGCAGCGGGCGGGCCGGACGCTCGGCATCTGATTGATACAGTGTTGCGCGAGTGTAGAGAGCTGATTGGCTGGTGCAGCTGCCGGAAAGGACTCAGCCTCGAGATGGAAGAGCAGAGGCGTTCGGTAGGCTGGAGTGAGAGCCGCCTCCCTGAGACAGCATCGGGCTGACCCCAGCCCGGCAGGGATCCAGCTGGGGAGGTGTCCTAGCCGGTTGTGGCACTGCCTTCCCCTAATGGTGGGCGACACCCAGAGGGCCGGTCACACTTGGGGTTCAGCTGGGAGAGTGACCTGGCCCCAGAGCAGGGCCTTCCCCGCCCGCCTGGCGAACAGAACTCCTGCCCTGGGGAGCGGGCAGGGCCTGTTCCCCGTGCCTCACGCCCTGCTTTTCGCCTCCTTCAGCGCTGCCAGCTTGCTGCTTTTCCTGCTTTCCCAGGAGGTGAACCTTTGTAGCCGGGATGGCAGCCACCCTGCTCATGGCTGGGTCCCAGGTAAGCCAGGGGTGGCTTCTCGGACCTCGCCTCTGCTCACCCATCTCGCCAGGCGTTTCTCTATTCTGCATAACCCTGTGGGAAATTCCCTGGGATTAGTAATTTGCCTGCTTTGGTATTCTGCCTCCAAGGCCCTAATACCGGGCCAGTAGAGCCACAAGCAAGCATATGTTGAACACCTACTGTATGCCTTTCAGTGCTGGGGAGATAAAGGACAGACGAGACGGGCGCTGCCCACCTGTTCACAGTCTAAGGAGAAAGCCTCACCGGGTTAGCCGGTGATACGACGTGATAAGTACGCTATTTGCTGTAGCAACGAAGTGCTGTGATATGATGGGAATCGAGAAGTGGGGGTGACTAATTTTCTCTGGGGCGCCCAAGGGAGGAGTGGAGGGGAGCAGAGGGTGGGGTCGCCGAAGAAATCTTGACACTAGATTAGGACTGTAAAGCGGTAGTCTGAGAGAGGTAGTCCCAGAGAAGAACACAGAACATACAGGTATGGAGTAATGTAAATGTTAGGTGTGCTGTGATAAAAGGCAAGGATAGAGTACGAGGTTCCTTAGAGAGGCGGGTATATGGGACCAGAACAGAGCAGTCAGTTCTGTTTTTGTTTTTTACATGTTCTCTCTTTTTTTTTTTTTCCTTCTCTTCTTTATTTTTTTGGACTCTACAGATCAGACTTAATGCTTTTGCCTCCTCAACATTTCTAACCATGTCTGTAATTTCAAGAAGAAAAACTGGTATTAACAACTTAGATACCGAGTAGTGAGGAAGCGTTGTGTGATTTCAGGCACCTGTGACATTTGAAGATATGGCCATGTACCTCACCCGGGAAGAATGGAGACCTCTGGATCCTACACAGAGGGATCTTTACAGAGATGTTATGCAGGAGAATTATGGAAACGTCGTCTCATTAGGTAAGGATTCTACCCTCCTTCACACACACGCGCACACACACACACACACACACACACCCCTCTTATTTTGAAACTGTCAAAATGGTTTAGCACTTTCAACACAGCCTAGTTGTTAGATTTTTTTAAAGCACTTAATTGAGTTGGCTTGAGTTCAGTGCTCAGGCAAGTCTTTGGATGTGGAAACATCTATGTCATATTGTCTGAAAAGAAAAAAAATGTTTTCTGTGCGTTTTAGAAACATTGAGCTAGCTCATACCCTGAGTCATTTGCCTTTCTCCAGCCTGTTTGTACAGATCACTGACCAAACTGGTCTGACATAATGGTGCTTGCTAGGATATAAATGCCCCTGTAAATGATGCTTTCACTCTAGGGCACTAGAAAATGAGGGCGTCTGACAGGATCATAAGAGGGCAGAAGCCACCCTCTTGGGTTTGTTTTGGCTTTGGACCCCACCCTTGCCTCAGACCTTTTCTCTAAAGAGGTTCTTGTCTAAAGATGTTTTAGAGTTTATCTTAGTTCACAATGTCGTTCTAGAAGAATCTTGAAATCATATCACAAGTTCTGTTAGAAAACACCCACCTCCCCGTCATGGTCCGCAAGTTGTCTTCTTTTCTAGTTTTCTTTTGGCCTGGGTGCAACTAGAATAAACAATATAGTCTTGAGCTGAACAGTCTTTTGACTCACTTTGTCTCCTGTTAGGACTTGACAAGAGTTAGCAAGTGTTTATAGCTCTGCATAGCATCTGTCATTCATTAATCCATTTTCTGAAATCTTTAGCCCCACAGCTTTTCTCAGTACAAAAAGCAATTTGAGGTTTTTTGTTTATTTGTTTTTAACTTGTTCTCTTTAATGTTTCGTGAGTTTTTTCCATTAAAAAAAGCAACCATTGGCTGAGCATCTGCCTGGCAAACAAAAGGCCCTGAGTTGGATTCCTGGGATAAAACAAAACAAAACAATCATAAATTTGGGCACAAAAAAAAGAAAAGAAAAAAATAAAATAAATCTGGGCATGGTGTTGCATGCCTATAATTCCACCACTGAGGGAGGCTGAGGCAAGAAGATTACTACAAATTGGAATCTTGCCAGGGCAATTCAGAGAGGCTCTGTCTCAAACTAAAAAAAAATAATAATAATTAAGAAAGGGGCTGCAGATGTAGAGTGGCAGAGTGCACCTGGGTTTAATAGCCCATGACACAAAAACAAACAAACAGGGGCTGGTGAGATGGCTCAGTGGTCTAAAGCACCTACTTAGAACAAGCTTAGCAAAGCACAGGGACCGCGGTTCAATCCCCCAGCACCACATGCCAGCCAGCCCCGCCCCCTGGTGGGCTGAGCTGGCCACACACACACACACACACACACACACAAATAAATTTTTTTTTTTTTTTTTTTGTGGAACCAGGGATTGAACTCAGGCCCTTGCGCTTGCCAGGTAAGCACTTATTTTACTGAACCATCTCCCCAGCCTCATAAATAAAATTTTTTAAAAAAACCAAACAAACATAAACCAGGTGTACTAGTGCATGAGTAATCACAGTAGTATTCAGGAGGGTGAAACAGTAGAATTGAGTTAGAAGCCAGCCTGAAATTGTGAGATCTTGTCTCAAAACAAAAATCAAAGGGAAGGAAACCCTAAATAATGTTTTCTTCCCAGGTCTATCATAGTTTATAATCCCAGAGTGTTTTTTAATCTTTTATTTATTTATTTGGTACAGGGTCTCTTTGTGCAGCTCCAACTTATAGTGATCCTCCTGTCTCAGCCACTCCACTGCTGGGATTACAGGTGTGCACCACCATGCCCAGTTTCAGTGGCCCACACAGCATGCCCAGGGTTCTGGGGCCTGTGGGGCATTGGGTACTGGGGATCAAACCTGGGTACTTGTACTTGTGAGGCAGGTGCTTGAACTGTGGAGCTATCTTTCCAGCCCCAACCCCAGGTTTTATACTCAGTGCAACAAAAAAAAAAAAAATCAAGAAATGAAATCTTAAAAAGTATAAATTTGCATTTTTCTTATCTAGCCAAAGGAGCATTTGTTAGAAGGATGGGAGTACCAAAAACTGGTTTCTTGCCCAAGAGATTATTTGGGAGATGGTCAAAGAATATTTACAAGGCTTCATTACCTTTAATACATCATCAGTCATTGTGGATTTCTAATAAGATTTCATTTGTACCACTTTTTAAGTTTATTTATGGCCCTTTCTCCCAACATATCTTAAATTGTTTTTCTAAAATGTATACAAAGAAATTCAGTTTAGAAAATAGAGTGTTAGGGCCAGGGAGATAGCTCAGTAGAATAAGCATTTGCTTGGCAAGCACAAGGTCCTGAGTTCAATCCCTAGTACCAGAGAGAGGATGCACAAGGTCCTGAGTTCAATCCCCGGAGAGGGGTTGGGGGGAAACATTGATTTGGAGCCAGGGAGATGGCTCAGTGGAATAAGCGCTTCCCTGGCAAGCACAAGGGCCTGAGTTCATTCCCTGGTTCCACCAAAAAAAAAAAAAAGAAAGAAAGAAAGAAGAAAACGAAGTGTCTGGTAGAAAGTTCCTTGTAGATGTGATTGTATATTTTGATTTATGCTTGAAAACT